CATTTCCTCTCTGGCCTTGCACAGAAACAAGTTTGCCCACCTTGAAAGCCTTTCCCACTTTCTGTCTAGGAAAGGTGACTTGAGTAGGATGTCACAAGGGCTGTGATTAATTCTGGCATTCCGGAGGCGAGACAGGAGGATCGCTGACCCAGAGTCCTGAGTTGCGTGAACTAGTCGCCATGCACTCTACCCCAGGCAACAGAGTGGAACTGTCTCACCTCATGCGGTACCACAGAGCACCTCCACAGGTCCCTGCATACAGCAAGTGCTCAGGAGAGGGTGCAACCTTGGGGGTGTGTCACCCTTCCTCGTGACTCCCTGCGGGCGGAAATCTCTGCTCGAGATCCTGAGCCTCTCCCCTGCCCATCCCCACCCTCCTCTCTAGAGAGCAAAGTGGTCACACCCTCCTCCTTGGCCCACCATTTTAGTGGGTGAAGCGTCTGTCGGCTCTGTGATGAACTTCCAGGTGCAGAGAGCATACGGGTCTGGGGATAGAAGGGCTCTGAAGACAGCTTCTGTCGCTGCAGCAGCGTGGAGTTAGCAAGTCCATCGAACTCTCAGAGCCCCTGCCCTCACCTGAAACAGGGAGTAAAATTCAAGCACCCACTTCCCAGCTGCAGTGAAACAAGGACTGTTGAACCAGAGGTGCCGTCAATTCCACAGTGCTGCAAAGGCGGGGCTATTTCACTGTCAATTACCGGGCAACATTACGACTCAGCTTGTCACTTGGTACCACTGGAGCAACTGAACGGGAAGGTGGTTCTCATAAAATGAGGATTTCCTTCTTGAAGGTCATGGTGGATTCAAAGCCTGACCGTCAGAAAGGCCCAGGTTGAGGCCAGGGGATGTTGGTGGCTTTGAGGTTCTCCTGCCTAACCTGCCTGCCCCTCACTGTAAGCTGGAATGCATGGGACAGGACAAATTAAGGTCCTGGAGGTGAACCCAGAATCTTGGTCCCCAGTGACTCCTGGGCCCGGGGTTGGAGCCAGACCCCCATGGCAACGTCTTAAGCAAGGACCTCACCATCAACCCTGTCCACTGGGGAGGGAGTTGGCTGCTGCCCAGTCTGGCTTGCATGCCCCCTTCCCTGTGCTCAGACGGCCCACAAAACGCTTCGTGACCACTACCTTGACCTTTGCTACATTTCTTTTCCGTGAGCTCGCTGCATATCACCCCTTGTTTCTACAAGCAGCCCTATGTGGTAGAGTATTATTTCCCGTTTGTAGATGAAGATACGAGGTTCAGAGAGGTTAAAGAATAACCTCAACGAAAAGTGCCCAGCTGGATATCTGCGCTCCACTCCACGCTCTTCTGTGGCACCAAAACCGTTTTTTTGTGGAACGAGGGCAAGGCAAAATCTGGCCTTTTCATTTTGCCACCCCACGCCCAGCTGCATCCCTTTTGACCAGCATGACCACAGCCTGAGAATCCCTTTTCCTACATGTCACGTGCTGGTACATGGGCAGG